GACCTGTTGATTGAAAGATATTGAACATGAGGAATTACGACACAGAAATAACATACTGGCCATGGAAAACCTGTTGAGAAATCAGCAGAAGTTGAGCCATTCAGTTATTCAGCAAAAATCAGACAGTGTCAGAGAGGCAAAGCTGAGAGGAGCCGTAGATCTCTCCTCCATAGAGGCGGTTGCTTAGCTCCCTCACCCTGCACTGCAGAGATGAGAAAATAATTTCATTGTAAAATTACTCAGGCATAATTTTCAAAACCTAGAGGAAGTGTTCTGCGCTAATCATTTCCTTAGCAAATTATTAACCAGGTGATGAGGCAGGCAGGCACAGCAAAGCAAGTTACCCAGGACTGGTGTGCTCTCTTGTGGGTGCATTGTTCTTGTTATCTGATAGCTAAAGTCACAAGTAATTAGTACACTGATTTTCAGTGTCTCTAGGCAAGAAAGCCATTGCTTTGATATCTTAGAAGTACAGAATTGCAAGGGTTGGGAAAGCCCTCTAATATCATCTAGTCCAACCATCAACCCATCCCAACTAACCCTTGTTCAAGGGCCACATCTACACAGTCCTTGAACAATTCCAGGGATAGAATGGAGACATCAGAAGATAAATGTAGAGATATTTGCAGGTGAGATGGCCACTGATGGAGGAGCTTCTGTTTGCCTTGATGTCTGTGGGAGATTTCTAAAGTGAGAGCACTGGGAGGAAGGGCACATGGGGAGGTTTCATGTCAGGTTACGCACATTAGCCCCCCAGCCCTGGGTCCATACAGCTGCTGCTCACCAACCCATGGTCCCTACTGGATGTGATGGCAGGAGCAAGACTTCTCCACAGCTGCTCTAGAACATAGTGAAAAGTGTCACATAGCTGTGACATTTCCTGTTTTAACAGGAGGAGGCCACACTGAGAGGCCTAAAGGTCAATGTATAAATATATCACAGTCTCACACATTGAAAAATGCTGGTGGAGTAATTTGAACATAGCCACATATACCTTGGGTGTTGCCACATACTTTGTACTGCATGAGTCCATCAAGTAGATAAGCACCAAAGAAACCAAAGAAACCTGTATGACTACACTGAACTAGAGTAGAAGGTGACTGTGGACAAGGAAGGCAAGTCTTATTAAATACTGTTTTGTGTATGTGGAGATATATCTGATGAATTCCAGCAGTGTGCAGAGCACAGTCGAGCCTGCAGTTCTGCACTGAGCAATGGCCTCTGGTAAGCCCAGAAAAGACAACTGGAAGAGAAGCTGCACATCTTACCTCCTGTGTAAGTAAAAGCATTTGCAGGTCAAATGTGGAAATTATTTGTGTGTTTAGTTCTGCAGCCTTCAGAGTTGTTGGAAGGAATGAGTGCAGAGTACACTTTTGGTGATTCAAGAATTTACTTGTCTGGGGATCTCATCAATAAAACGCTACTAGTACTCAGAAATTCATAGAATCATTTAACTTCTAAAAACCTTCAAGATCATCAAGTCCAACTATCAGCCTGGCCTACTGAGCCCCATCATTAAATCACAACCCTAAACACCACATCCACATGACTCGTAAATAATTCCAGGGATGACAGTCTATGGGAAGCTTGTTCTGATGCTTGACCGCCATCTTTCTGAAGAAATTATATCTAATGTCCAATTTAACGTGCGCTGGTATAACTTGAGGCATTTTCCTCACTTTGTCACTAAGAAAAAAGACTAGCATCTGCATCCTGCAACCTCCATTCGGGGAAATGTAGAGAGTGATGGGGGCCTCCCTTGGCCTCTTCTTCTCTGCTAAACAGCCTGGGTTCCCTTTCACACCCTAGTTTTCCAGTCCTGTCACCAGCTCCACTGCTCACGCTCAAGCAACTCAGTATCCTTTTTGTAGTGAGGAGACCAAAACTGAACACAGTACTCGAGGTGAGGTCTCTCCAGTGCTGCGTGCAATCACCTCTCTAGTTCTGCTGACATTATTTCTGATAGAAGTCAGGATGCCATCAGCCTTCTTGGCCACCTGAGCACAATGTAGGCTCACATTCAGCCAGCTGCCAACCAGCACCCTCAAGTCTTTTTTTGTCTGAGAACTTTCCAGTTGCTTCCCCAAGCCTACACCACTGTATGGGTTTGTTGTGACCTAAGTGTGGGATCCATCACTTACCCTCTTTACCATCTCCTCTCTTCTCTGAGTGCTTTCCTTAAAAAGCCTTTGTAGAGGGCAAGAAGGGTCATCTGTGATCGTAGAGGCAATAGTGCATAGAAAACATCTGCTTCCTTCCTCTACTGCTTCCTTCCTCTGCTGCAGCCCTCTGTAGCTCATATCATCACTGGGACTGCTGCTGACAGGAGCCCTTCTCCCATTTGTACTTACACTCCAAAGCAGTCCAAGAGCGGTAACTGTGGTCCATGGTCTTTGAAGCTTTTGAAGGAACCGATGTTGACAAACTTGTATATGTGAAAGTTAAATCCACATTGTATCTGCTGATTTTATTGCAAATGGTATTCTTTTAATTGACTAAACTGCATTAACAATTCTGCAAGATCTGAATGCAATGGAAAACCTGCACATATGTAGTGTCCTAACAATAACAGTTCTTCAGCATCTAGCTTATTACAATGCATAAGTAAATCTTCCTTCTTGCAGTAAAACTATCATGATTAAATTAGTTAAAGGCTGGACATGCCTCCTAATTCTTCTTGTTGATCAGATCTGCCTTCTTAAAAAAAAGAGATTTTTGTAAGAGCTATTACACTATAATTGGTATTTTGCGTGTTCTTAGGCTTTTTTTCTCTCTCTATTTGTTTTATTTTGTTTGGACTCAGTGAGTTTTGCCTTTTTGGCCTCAGTGTGCTCACTGCTGTGACTCATGTATTCCACAGCTACTGCCAGATCTCTGGGCCCGACACTGCAATTATTACATTAGGACCTGTCAGTGCAGCCCTGACTTAATAAATAGGGCAGAGATTAGAATCACTGATTGATCTGCTCCATGGTTTTGGACACTCGCATCTGAGATGAACAGCGGGCCTGTGGATATTTAGGGTTGGAAATGTCAGCATTGCAGATTAGACTAGTATTAATTAGATATTTTACGTACACCAGCTGCTACGTATTGTGAGCATTCTGATAATCTGGTGGATTTGATAATTGCTGGGGCTGTGCAGCAAGGGGCTTTTCATGTGAAACTCAGGGTCCTTCAGGAGTGCAACAAATGCACTGCAGTCCTGGGTGGGCACTCTGTCCCATAGGACAAGACCAGGCCTGATCCAAAGGAAGAAAATCCCCGAAGCGTGTAGATGCTCAGCACCAGCCTTCCCACTCTACACCCAGAGGTAACAAACAGTAACACACTCCAACACCTCAGTGAACTGAAGCAACAACCCTCTAAGCTAGTGCTGCTGCTAGCGGTTCTTCACCCTATAGCTTCCTCCATGCCCAGAATCTCTTCCTGATAATGCAGAACTGAGCAAGAGGGTGAGTGTCAGGTGGACTGGGATGTGCAGTGTGGAGCACCTAAGTGCTTCAGTCCTGTACAAGTGAGCACATAAGTGCTTCAGTCTGGAGGCAGCACCATACTAAGAAGGTGGACCAGTCCCAGTCTGGCAGCTATCCCAGGAGACAGACCTATAGTGCTGACTGCTCCTCTTGGCTATGGGAATGATGCAGAGATATGGCATGCTGTGTATGACTGTTCCATGGCTGTTGGTGGCTGCTCCACCATAGGAACAAACACACTGCATCGCCACGACTGCTCTGCTTTTAAAACGGACCTATGGGATTTCTGATCCAGAGAAAAGCTTGAAAACACAAAGATTATTTTAAAGGCCAACAAATAAAAAAACTTGATTTAAGAAAATTTTCTTTCAAAATGAAATTTCATTATTCTGATTCAGAGGAATCAGGTATGAAAACTTACTACGTAACTCCAAGTTATTATGATGCCTTGCATTAACCATGCTGTGAACACAGATGGCTATATGATTAGCATGGATGTTTAAATTTTCTTCAGAACCTGCTTGGGTTAGAACTTTAGGATCCATAGCCTGACAGATACAGCAACAAGCTAGGAAATTGTCCTCCTTGCATTCAGCCTCCCTCCCATCTCTTGAAAATAAACATCTGTTTAATTTGTGCCCATGAACAGGGGCAATATTAAGATAGCTTCAAAGTTAAGAAATTTTATACTGGAGTAAGCTGTATTCTCTAGTCCGCTCTGAATCAACCTCAAATTACATGCTGACAAAACAGAAGTGCTCGTTCAAAACCCAAGAACGGGGATTTTGTCTATTCAAAATATAATTTTCTCCTCATATCAACATGTTCTAAATTCAAAATTCCTTTCCAGGAAGATCTGAATGCTGCATGAGCACAGAGCCATCCTGCAGTGTGATATTTTACATCATATCAAGCTCCTTCCTTACCAGAGCATTTGGTGGATAAAAGCTGCACAGATTGAAATGTGGAAGGCAGTCTTCATCCTACTGTGTCTCCTTTTCTTGCATTCATCCACAATGAAAATGAGCTGCCAGGCTGCAGATCTGACTTTTCTGAGCTATCTGTTGGTAAAACAGAATGACTCTACATCTACCTGAAACTCTGAGGAGTGCCCATATAAACTGGCATAGTCAGGAGGGAAATCTGTGCTAACATCATTATGTCCAACATAAACTGAAGATTAGGGCATCTAACTCAAACGTAGCATTTTGCTTTATTTAGACCCAAAAAGCAAGCTGCTGGTTCTGAAGTGCTTTCAGACTTAGGGACACATACATTTTTTTAAGAATGGCTTATTTTTATCTTTGGCACCTCAACCTATTTGCACACGAGGGAGCACAAATAGCTTTGAGACTGCAGGTGATCCTTGCTTAGTGGCTCTGGGTTGTTAAGTAGCCTCTGTGTTCAGAGACACAAGGAATCCTCCCCGTCCTTGTCAGGCAGGAATCTTCCCAAGCATTCAAAATATTTTTCTCAACTTGAAAGGATTATCAGGGATTTCCCACTGAGTCTCAAAGGCAGTCATATATTTTATTTGTTTTATTACAAGGCATGTAAGTAAAAACTTGCATATCTGAAAAAAGGTATTAGATAGAAAACAGTAATAAAATTAACATTATTCTTTAAGAAACTTGGTAATAAATACATTTCCCCTCAACATTAAAATGCTTGTTATTTTGCACAACAATAAATACAGCATAGCTCTGGCATAGAGAAAGGCCAAGACTGGATACAAGAAGTCCGTGTGGTTTCTTAAAAAAGCTCAGGTGATTTATAAAGGTTTGGCATCCTGCACTTGATGTACTTTGATTAAGCTTGTGCTTTAATTTTATTTTGACTATGAGTTTTAAACAGGCCCCTAACATAGAAATATGAGAGGAAAATTTATTTGACTATAAGATTTTTCCTTTAAATATTTTCAAAGTAAGAGATGTGTGAACTCATTGAAACCAATCCTTGAAATAGTAAAAAGAAGTGTTTGGATGGCTATTCTACAACAATGCATATTTTCAGCTGTGGGTGCTCAAGCCTGACCAGCCAATTGGCGAGGGATCAATGCCTAGTCAGTTCCTCAATTCTTTACACAATTTTCAAAAAAGAAAAAGAATAAAAATTAAACAAGTAATTACAGTGAGAAAGAGTAAAGAGCGTAGTATTGACTTCCCAAGTCATGACAGTTTGAGGTTCGTAAGCTATTATCCAAAGGTGAGTGGAGAAGAAATAGGTATATTCCGGAATGCTCTCCCAGCACAATTTTGGGTCATTCGGGTTTATACTTTTCTTACAAAACTACCAAAGAAAATGAAAGAGAGATATTTCCATGCACTGTGCTGTTCTTATGTCAGCACGTATCATCACAATCACAACTGTGAATCTAAGTCATTTTCATAGCCCAATCTAATATAGATTATTTCCCACAACAGAGTTCGATAATGTCCACAAAATGCCACAAGCTCTGGCAGAGTCCAACATTCTTAAAGTACCGATAGGTCATGACAAGACTTGGACTTGAGTTTGAAGGCCATGTTCTTGTTGTTCTTGGCAACTATTTTGCCCCAAAACCGCCTGGCTTTTTTCGGGATGCTCTCCCTCCGTTTCTGGTAAGCCAGCCGCTTCTCGTTCTTTTCCTTGCTGTCCCTCCTGAGCCGCACTTGCCTCACGATGCCTTCAAAGAGCTCTTTCACGTTGTGCTGCACGGCTGCCGAGGTCTCGATAAACTTGCAGTCAAACACAACAGCGCACGCTCGGCCCTCTGCAAAATCACAACGGGGATCGGTCATGAAATGCCATGAACCAGAAAGAAGCAATATGGCTGTGGGCTGTCACAAGGGGGTAGTCAGTGGCACCAGGGGAATCCCTCAAGCCTAATATAGCCACGGATAAGTCTTTAATCATCTAATGCTGCCTGGTAGGCTGTGATTCATCTGCTCTGTGTCACAATCCCCTGGCAGTGAGGGAGGCCAATCTCCTGAAGAAGGCTGGTTCTCACCATTGGCTGTGAAGGGAGGGAGCTGGCTGACATGCACTGACGGGGTGGAGACGTCAGCCATGACTCAAAATCACCTGGTCGTCATACGAGCAGACTTCCACAAGTCACATTAAAGGGTGACAGCAGCGCCCCTCATGAGCCCAGCACAGCTCTCATTAGCAGAGGAGGCAGGGCCCAAGCACCCTCCATAGACCACGTGTACAATCCAGGGTCTTCAAACAACACCAGACTTGGTGTGAACAATCACAAGTACCAAATCCTTAAAGGCAGAACTGTGTCCATAACTTCAGAGGTATATCTGAAATCACAGTTCTTATCTCAAACTGTTTAAGTATAAACTAGCCCTGGCAGATGTCTTTAACATGCAAGCCAATTCATGCTGTCTTCTAACTTGCTGGAAACTCATTGCCAGGAAGGCTAAATCTTTCAGAGGACTTTTCAAGTAAGCCAGAGAGACATGAGAAGGAGCATTGTCATCTCTGGCTTCCTGATGAGCTACCTCTGTTCAAATCCTTCACTTGGAGCAACCTTGACAGCAAACAGAGGAACCTATCCCAGTGAAACAAAAGTCTAGATCAATTGGGAAATAGGCAAGATAGCTGCAGAGAGAAGAAAACATTGAGCCAAGAAACCCAGGTTTCCTGTGTACTCTGGCCAAGAAGAGATTATCTAATGAGGTTCCATGTGTTATGTCACCTAAACCTTGGGGAAGTCTGCATAAGAAGAGATTCTACTGTCTGAAGAGCTTGAGGGTCAGCAGTAGCTTTCCCAGGTATCTTTCTATTCCTATTTCTGGGCTTAGGACTGCTCAAGCTTTGGGAGCACAGCACAAGCTCTTTAGTCATTCGCATGTAGCAGAGGGATGGCTGCTTTAGCATCTCAGAGCAAGGCACCAGACAGATCTGTCCTGAAAGGCTGTGCAGCACCTGACCAGGCCAGTGAAATGAAGGGTGAGAGAGAATTTTAATTCATCAGGGAGTAAAACTTCAGATAAGAGGAGGACCTGGTTAAACAAGGAGATAATCTTTGGCAGCAGAAATTGGAAACCTAAGCTGTTCCCAGCTTTCAGCTCAATCTCCTGTGGTCAGCTCAATCTAAGTGGTCTTACACGAGAAGCTGGAAAGGAAAAAATTCAAGCTGTTTTTATGAAGGAATTTAAATTTGGGAAAGAGATTATCTGACATGCAGCTAGTGGAGACTTAAAGACTTGGCAGACCTTTCCCGGCCCTCTGTCCTCTCTTTCAGCCCTCTGTTTTATTGCTCTTTTGTTGCCTGGTCCTGATCACAGTGTACTCCAACCATTGTAATGTTCAACAGCTATTGTGTGGCTCTTACGCTTACAAGGTTTTTATCCTCATCATTTCCCTTACCTGCTACTGAAACTTCGCGGCACCTGACAAGGTCACTTTTGTTGCCAACCAAAATAATGGGAATATCTTCTCTCTGCCGAGCCCTGCGGAGCTGTATTCTGAGTTCAGAAGCTTTTTCAAAGCTTGCTCGGTCTGTGATGGAGTAGACAATCAAGTAGGCATCTCCCACTTTCATGCAGTGGTCTCGAATCCATTCTCCTTCACGCTGTTCAAAGCAAACAGTCAGACATCATTATGCCCAGGGCAGATTTTGCTTAGAAAATATAACATTGGAGAATCTAAACACATTCCTGCTGTAACTGCACTGGATATGGTTTGAATCACAGTTGTACTAAAAGCAATTCCAAAGCTGTGACCACATGAATACTTCAGCATAAAGGAGGGTGAAATTTGCCCCTGATAATTCATTATACTGGATTTAGATTGGAATGAACAGTGTTTAGAAAATGGCTTGAATGTTTTGTTTTTTCATTAAAAAAATAAAGAAGGTTTGCTCTTCTCAGCCTCACACTACAGTCGTTATGCATGCCTGGTTTGCTATGGGGAGGATATTGATGCTGTGTTTTCCCTGATGCTGAAGTATAGAAAGACATATTTTCTTTCCCAAAAGATAACTACTTTTTATACTAGCCCTCATTCATATGTACTTTTGTTTTGGCATTTGACTAGTATATACAAATAAATGTCATACCTTGTTATCCCACATGTCGAGCAGTACAATCGTTGCACTCTCCCCATCCACCATCAGGGTTCTTTCATATGTGTCTTCTGTAAGAAAAAAATAGAAACATTGGTAACATATTATTTTGTGACATCACGTACATTATAAAAAAAAAAAACCACAAATAGCTTACTAAGTATAATTTTTTCACAGTTCAAGTTAGTGAGCCAAGTTTTGTGCTGGCTCATGTTCAGTTCTTTCCACATTTCCATCAGCACTAAACCTGCCTTCTGTTCATTACTGGTTGTCTTACTTTCCATGATATGTGAAGGAGATAGAAAGATCAGAAAAAGAGATGTTCATTATTTTGGTTGATATTTTCTTTATCTTATGTGAGACAGAAAATAGAACCAGTGGAAGAAATAACCAAAGGCTGAACATTTGCCCCACGGGAGTAGCAGAGTCCAGTGAGGCTAAGTAATGGAAAATATTTGCTTTCACTTTAGCAGGGACAGTTCACGGGTGAACAGACACTGCAGTTGAGAGCAATGCAGCTAACAGCCCACCAAGCAAAGAGGGCAGTTTGTGAGGCAGGAACCGTTGAGTTTTAGAGACTGAAATGACTGCTGCATCCCATTTCTTCCCCATTTCACAGTTTCCAACATTACCTTTGATGTCAAAAAGAAAAGCAATCAACAAACCACAGCAGTATTTATTTTGTACTGAAACCAAAAGGACCCATATCTAGATTATAAATACCACATTACTAAGTTCTGCCTAGATCTGGAGATCTGTTCCCACTCAATCACAATGAATCCTTGCTGTGAAATTCTCAGTCTAGTTTCCGCTTCAAATACTAATCCTTCTTCCCCCCAGATCCAAGGGCATTTGGATGAGCAGTATGAGGCTTGAATCCCTCTCTAGTCTTGTGTTCCAACCAGTGAGCAATGCTGGGCTTAGGGCTTCTCAGTGTACTGCATCTTTCCATGCACTGTGTAAGGAATCTGTTCCAGCCATGCTTGTAGATAGGACCATGCCTTAACTCCTGCCTCATACAGTTTCTTCTAGGTATTAGCAGAGTGAACTTTCCCCCAAACTATAATCACAGGCTTTCCTCGAAGCCAGGAATCTACAACCATGAAAAAGTCTGAGTCAAAAAATGTCCTATATTTAAAATAAAATCAAACTTTGTAAACAAGAGCACAGGCTTGACACAGCTTAAAATGGAAGGATTCGAAGTACAAAGCTAATCAAGAGGAGCATCTGCATTCATGGGTTAGATGAATCTTATAGCTGGTTGCAAAACTAATCCCTCAGAGCAGCTGTTTTCCCTCTGTGAATTTGCTGTCCTGGAACCATCATCTCTTATTTCCAGTTTGTAAGCTCAAGTTTGGAGAATAGTTTCTTTGACTGATTAAGCATTGGCATGGGAACAAGATCCATCTGCATCAGAGGACAACATTTAGAGGACTACTTCTTTGTTCTCTGTGACACAGGGAGAGGTTGAGAAGTACATAACCACACTACTTGAAAATGTTCTGCCCTGATCAGAGAATCATAGAATCATAAGGAAGGGACTTCTAAGGGCCATCTGGTCCAACTCTCTTGCCATTAACAGGGACACCTACAGCTAGATCAGGTTGGTCACAGCCCCATCCAGCCTGACCTTAGATGTCTCCAGGGACAGGGCATCCGCCACATCTCTAGGCAACCTGTTCCAGTGCCTCAGATGGTCATACTCAGAAATTATTTGCACTTTGGACAATCCAATGGGACTTCAATAGGATATAAAACAGACTGCAAGTGAGCAATTAGTTCATCTCATGCTTCATTTGAAGTTGATATTAAAATAGGAAAAATAAAACAGCAGGTTTTCTGATACTTCCATAAACCTGGCCTTGAAAACTTGTCATGGCTACACTCCAAGCAATATTGCTGGGAGTGCAAATGAAGGAAAAATCCATACTGTTTCCCATGAAGGAGAAGGAAACCATCTGACAAGGACGTGCAAAGCAAATTCTGGCATAAGAACAAGAAAAGCTGTCCCATCCAAGCTCCACCGAAGGCTGGAAAAAAAGCTCAGTAACACTCCATGCTAGCACGGGCACCAACACAATGGGAACAGATAGAGGAGTGTGTTGAACAGCAGTGTGTGTTGAACAGCAATAACAGCCAGAAGCTTGCAAGTGTTCCCAAGATGGCAGCACTTGTGTTCTTAGGACCACAGCAGGTTTCCATCGCTGCATGACCCACAGCACCTTGCTCACACAGTATGCCTCATGGCTGGGTGCCACAGCCTCACCTTCTGCATTGACTTTGGCACTAAGTTTCAAAATCCTCACCAACACAGAGGAACATAAAATGAGGGGTAGACATATTTTGCTCAGACTCCCTACAGCCTATGCTGACACAATATATTTATATGTAAGGCTGAGATGACAGACAATGGCAAATGTTTTGGAGAATTGGATAGGGCTTTTTTATTTTTCATTACATGTTATTTCTGAGCGCTACATTCTTGTGGACCACAGGGAAAGGTCCTAGTTTTTCTTTGCCCTGTAGAAAGCTGGTGATGGTCCTGTGGTGACTCAAGAGTTGGACTAGAATGAATACTGAATGGCAGCTTCCAACAGATTCTTTGAAACAAAAGAGCATGAGAATCTGTATTGCTCCCTTACAGAGGCTTTATGTTGTTGTTAGAGAGTATCATCCTCTTTGTAGCTTGTTTTGCTCATTCTTGTTTTCTTAAGAGAGATGCATGTGTTGGAATTGGTTTTGACAATCAGATCCAGATGTTTGCTACGTCAATTTTAGATTAAATGACCTTTCTGATTTTCCATGCCAATTTCTGCTGCCATGGCTGATGGCAAGCAAACGCAGACCCCAGAGCATAGTGACCTACCTCCCAGCACCTCGCAGTCACTGTCAATGCTGTCGTGTACCCCTGCAAAGATGTTGGCCAACGACGACTTGCCCACACCTTGCTCCCCTATCAGCACCACTCTGTAGCAGTTGCTGCAGGACTCAGAGGAGATGACAGAGTCAGATGACTCCGAGGACCAGCTTCTTCTGTAGTATTCATCAGGGCTGATGGTGTATCGCTTCTGCGCGTTGTACTCATTGGAGTCCTTCTGGACCAGCAGGTTCTTCCCATCAGCAGGGATGCTCCATCGCTGCTGTTGCTGCTGCAGGCTGCTGTGGTGGGTGCGACGCATGGTAACGTTGTTGAGGGTCATTTTTTTACCCCTGCTGAGAAATATGGAAGCCACACACTTTATCCACAAAATTCTTACAAATGCACCAACACCTTATTAACTCAAAGCAGTTGGTCCTGCTCTTCTACAGGGATCCAATATGCAACAACAAAAAAGGAGACTTCACACTCTTTTGCAGTTGCTAATACACAAAGGAATATTTCTAGCTAGTGAGTCAGAGGCTTTTTCCTAGGGATGATACCACCCCCATACACTAATCCTATCCATCTTTCTTTAGCCTGTACACGCTTCCTGCAATGCTAAGTGCCTGGGCAGGGAAGCACTCAGCAAAGCTCACACAAGGCTGTATTCCCGTCAAGAGATGGGCAGCACCTGCAGGCACTGCTCTCTTCCCTCCTGCCTCCTGGTGCAAGCAGAGGGACCCATTGAACTCAAAACCTTACACAGCTCTCATAGGAGAGGAAAGCCATGAAAGCAAGCACATCTTTGGGTCTCATCTGGACATGTCAGGACAAGCTTGAAACAATGGCTTTCTGTCTGCTAACAGGGACACAACCAAGTCCAATGACTTTTTAGAGGAGGTGTAAGTTCAAGCCATTACAGAAGGTGGCACTGGCAGAAAGTTCATTTACAGATTTACAGATGCTTCATTTATTGCAACTACAGCAACTTCATTATTGCACAATTGGCTAACAGGTTAGCTCTTCCAACTTTAGCATGGCCCCTAATTACATTTAAATTAGCAAACTTAATTTTGCCTTGGTTGGAGGCAGAGCACAGTGATGTCATTCTCATGGACCACCAGCTACCATTTTTAGGAATGTTACTTTGATGCGTCCCAGTTCTCAGAGTGATGGTTATTCGGACATTCTGCTTTTTGGAGTGTATCTGAATTTTATCAGCTCTCTTTTCCATGTCAGTATGCAGGAGAGCTGCCCATGAAATGAACTCTCAAACTTGAATAATAAGCGGTGAATGAAAATAAGCACAGCAACACATAAAAACAACATGTACAAACCACTACTCCTTTTCACACAAGCTATCTGAAAACTTCTTAGAATGAATGTAGATCAGGCTAGACAATAAGCAAACCAAAGCCACTTTCTATCTGAACATATTACAGCACTCGCAGTATTTTCTCTGTGACACACAGTGCTTAGTGGCAAAACTAGATTACTTGCACAGTCCCAGATGCAATAACTTTGCCAACAAGAAATACAACTGACAAGAAACTAGGCAGCAAGCAAAGCCCGCTTCACCAAGTCAAATATTAACCGCAGTTTTATTTACGATGCATTACTTTCTTTCAGCTTCCCCACTGAAAAGACCAGATGAGAAAAGGCAATTCCAAATCAGTTACACATCAGAGCCCAAATAAATGATGACTGCCAATAAACAATCACGGTCGCGGTCATGAACATATCATGATTTCTTCCCTAACAAGCTATCATCCTTCATTAAACAAACCCTAATGAGACAAACACTTCTAAGTCACCCCTGCACATCTCAGTCCAAGCCCAGGTTTGACGGCACGCACTGCACTTAGCTGTGTGGGTCTACAAAGCCACAACAAACCCACAGACACACAACCCAAGGCACTGTAGCCAGAGCAGCCTTACTTGTGTGCGTCCGTCTGCGCCGTCAGCTCCGGGTTCGTGCTGCTCTCTGCTCCGTGGGCTGTGCTACACTGAGCTGCTCTGCTGGAGTAAATCCCCTCCCGCTTACGGGCTGCCTCTTTAATTCCTCCTCAGCGAATCTGGTTTATATTAAGCCCATCTGATCGGAGACAGGGCTTTTCCGTGACGTGGTTGGCCTTTCCATCCAACAGCCAACCCCCAGCTGGGAGGGAGCAGACATGCAGAAAAGCAAAAACTCACAAACAGCCTCAAAAGACTTACTTGAAATCATATGATTGTCTTTGTGTTGCCAGTAAAATAAACACATTTGGGTCTTACATGAGGAAAACAGGCAAGTGGAAAAATTAAAAAAAACGTGCCCTTCCATCTCACTCAATTTTGCATTCAAATGCTAGTAGGATTAATGATGTTTTTAAAACTACATGTTTCCTTAATGCATTAAATGCAGCGAATGTGTAATGTTCTCTGTCTGCAAAATGCGTTTAACTCCCCACTGGACAAGACGTTTTTCTGGAACAAAATATCTGAATGTTATTTTAAAATTATCTCACAAGCATGAATATTATTCTGCTGGCTTTTTGTCTTTTAAAGGGATCCAAAACATACAATCCTATTTTTTCTCCGTCACCTTTCCAGTCACTGCCCAGACATCTCCCACCTCTTGCTGTAGCACTCCTCCTGCAAGGGCTCAACAGCAGAACAGCTGCCCACAGACTGAGTGCTGCTCCAGCTGGACGCTGGCAAAGATGGATGTGAATTAGAGAGCACAGAGCCTGGGCAGTACAGCGCTGATTCCATCTGTAGTTTATTAGGAGAGATGGCTATATAGTGTATGTGCCACAAAGCATGAGCCTGCTCCTCAAATTGTGACATTTCTAACAATGTGTGTGGAAATTTCTTCTCGATTGACTGAGTGGAGTAATAAACCTCCACAAACCACTTGGTAGGGATACCATCAGTTATATAGAAGTCTATGGAGAACCCCTACTCTTTTTCCTTATTTTTGCATTTTCCTAGTTATTCTATTAGTCCCCTAACCAACCGGTGAGTGCCCTTCTCACTCTGCACTTAGAAAGTCTGAAGAGCTTTGTTTCTGAGCTGGGAAAATAGCGTTTCATTTCATGATGGCTGCAGCCAAGCTTCAGCACCATTGCTGTGCAGGGTGGGACACCCCTTCCCCCGGTGCTGCCTGGCACTCATGTCACAGACTTCTGCATTTTCATGTCTTGCTTAAGCCTTGCCAAGTGTATTATATTTCCTGTGATAAAGAGGACTTTTATGAAATTCTTCCACTGAGATATGCCTGCTTTCTTTCCCCTTCAGCTTTGTTGCACTTCTGCATCTTTCATGAGGATTTTCAGGGATCTTTTGAGCCCATTCTCAAAGGGCCAAGAGCATTTCTCAAAGTCACGCACACTCACCTGTATGCAGAAATTACTTATTGAGATGTACTGGGTGGAGGCTTGAACCAAACTGTGTCTTGATTTTGGATCAGTTGTGTTCAGCAGCGACTGCCCTGGCCCCAAGCCCTGCACCTCTGCGTAGGATGCACACAGCGGCTGCTTGTGCTCACTGTACAGCACAGCAAAACACGGCACAGCCTCCGTCAGGGAATGTTTATGGCAAGGCCAGTGGCTCTCAAAACAGAGCACTTTGCTCTCGTGCTGTCAGTACACCAAGCTCTGAAGTTGCTCCTACTTTTTACAAAATGTACAAAATGATGTAGGGGAGTGGATAGCTGCAGAGCTGCGTGCTGCACCCTCAAAGGGTTCAAGGTCTCTTTATGTTGCCTGTCACTTGTCACCCCCTATAGAAACGCAAAACCTGTCCATCACAGGGCTGCAGAGATTTATGGCAATATGGATGCCAGCAGAACTGTAGGCTCTAAAGTCTTACCCACGTGTTTAACTTGTATTATGGCAGAAAGCACAGACAGCGGAAATAAATCGGTCAGAAAAGGCTTTGCATTTAGTTATGGTTAGTGATAGATCAGGAATTGTCAGACTTCATCTTGTGCATCGTCTTCATAGAATTCAAGGTAAAGAAAACACAGCTCTCCAGGGATCCCACAATACATGCCCTATTTGCTTACCAGGGATAAGAGTAGGTTAATTAAAGAATCATGAACGGAGCCCTACCCAATAAGGCTGACCATGGGCTTGCATTTCCAAACCTGCAGTCTGATGCGGGGCTCTGTGATCCTGAACCGCTCTGTCCTCTCACACTCTTTGCCCATCAACATTTCTGCAACAAAAACTGCCTGAGACACAGCACAAGAAGAGAATAACCATAAGGCCAGGTGCTGTCGTAAAAACACGAGGGCTTGGATGCTTCTGGCTGCTGCAATATTAAACTGAGAGTGATCTCATGTTTGAATATTATCCGTTCTGTGCTTCAATAATCATGTCTTAAAGGAATGCTCTCTGCAGGAAGAAGTAAACTTCACACTGCCATCTCTCTTTGGCCACTCACAGTTTGACCAGGTGGTGCTTGTTGCAATTAGGTAGGAATCCATCAAATATAAAACAGGAGTGCTTTATAGCTAGTACTTAACTAGCTATTTTACATTTATGTACATGAAGGCAAAAGTAGCTCCTTGAATCACCATCTAGTGTGAGGGTGGTGCTTAGAGTAGGTCTGAATCAGTTTGGAAGAGGAAAATACAAGGGGGGAAAATGTTTAGAAAAGCAAGAAGAGCAAAATTCAGATTTATTTTACCAGAAATTGAGTGCTGTGTCTAAAGTACACTTGTTCCCTATAATTCAACAGAAGAGTGTATCTTCATTTTTCCCTTTTTTCCCTTTAGAGGACCTGGTATAGTAGACCACATTCCTACTAGTTAGTTGTTAGTTGTTAGTTGCAAAGACAATGGATCCAGTTTGCCACCCTCCTTCCCTCCACATCACAGCAGTGTGTTACATTTTTCTGCACTTCTCACATCCGTCTGTGTTGACTGGTCTCTTGGAAACTCTCAGTCCCTCAGTAGCACAAGCTACCAGCTCTGCAACGGACAGAAATGTTTTGGGGCATAGGCATGATGCTGGGCAGGACAGTTAGATACCCACAGCTACTGCAAGGCTCATGTACCTGTTCCTGTGTCACCATCCATGTCTGCAGCACAGGCAGCCACAAGCAGCTCACTGAGCAACCATCATAAAAAAGGAAAAAATATAGCAAAGCTGACTTAGATCCGCAGAAATGGGACTGATGGCTTATGTACAGCAGCTCATGCCTCCAGATTTGCTTTGGCTTTCCTGCTTCAGTCCAATGACTGGGTGAGAAGTTTCACACCAGGTGAGAGAGGTAGCATAAGAAAGTATGCTGAAATTGGAGGTATGAGGAAGATAAATTAAGAATTGCCTGGGGAGAGCTGCTGCGGATCTTAAATGGAAAATGGGAGAAAAACTCAGAAATTAAGGGATAATAAAACTTGATTTACTTAATGGGAAACAGGATCAAAGAAGTATGTTCCTGAAAGTGCTCCCCAACTCAAAAATGCTTAACAAAAGAGCCACTGCACCACAGAGGAGCAGACTTGGTAGCTTGCAAAGGGTGCTGAATTTGTTCTGTCAACTTCTTTTCTCCTACACCACAGCAGATTTTTACAGTCCTACAACTGATCGCTAAAAAAAGAACACAATCCTCTGGTGATGGAGCACAAGGACGGGGAGGATCCCCAGTATGTTCTTGTGTGCAAGAAAGCAGTAAGGATGGCATTAGAGCTGCCGGGGAATAGGATTGCCTTTAATCAGCTGCCTCATTAGGAAACCCCTCTTTAGTCTATTACTTGCAGATAATCTGGATTCTGATGTACCAAAAGGGAGGTGTGCTCCATATCCGTGCTCAGCAGAGCTTTTATAACTGCAATTGGTGACCAAAAGGTACTTTCTCATTAATGCATGAAAGTGGCACAATTGAAATACCAAGCAAAGAGTGAAAAATAAGCAGCCAAAGAAAGCAGTGCAGATAGGCTCATAATAAATAACAAGTTACTTTTTAGTCTCGTTAACTGGAGAGAATAAAAAACACAACAGCAACAGTTAAAGAGAGTGTCAGCTGTAGGAAAAAAAAAGACAACAATAACAAAGAACAAATTGTGAAAGTGAATCATTTCAGTAAGTTAGAAAAAGGAGGGCTTATTTCCCACCCATGCTTTCAGTGACGTTAAAGAATTCTCCTGATAACTGTCCAGGGAACGGGATGAAGTCATGATTGACATAAATACATTTGCTTTTCAATTGGAATCAATGCAAATAAAACAAATTCATGAAATGCTAATAATAGAAGGATGTGATTTAGCCATAAATGTTCCTCGAATACAGAGCTAAAAACGTCTTCAGAGTAGTGGTACCAGCATAGACCGTTTCTGCAGCAGGGATCTTTGTGGCACATCACAGTCCACAGCTGAGTCTGGCTCAAAGTAATGGTCTCCACTTCAGATGCTGGAGCCACGTTATTCCATAACAAATGCCTCTTGCTTTTACAGTAGAAAATCATGGTGATATTTAATGATTGGTAATTATGCACCATGCAAACCATAGGTTGGAAACTTCATCAGAATAGACTGGGCTTCTGATCATTGGAACTGCGGAATAGAAATCCACAAAAAGCTCTTTTGGTCCAACCACAAGTGCAACCAACAATAATTACTGAGACTCAGGGCAGCTGGGTGATACTGTTTGAACTTCCACAGAAATATGAAGAAAGGACTCAAAAGCCTGACGGTACTTCAGAAACTTTCCATGTGACGTCAGTTCTTGACTTTCAGGTCCCCAAGCTCAACATTTGACAAAAAACAGAGCTATACGATCAGAGGGCTCCCCGCATTTGGTCCCTCACTTTCCAGGGAGGTTTGCTCCAACTATCATCACTGCCTGTCAGCTTTTATTGCCATTTTCTCCTATTCTCCATGCATGGGCACACATTCACCAGCTATCATCCACCAGTCTCCTTTCTGATTGTGTTTATCTACATGATAACTCTGCCTAGAGTGGGAAAGGAGCCTCATTTCCCATGCATGCTGATTTGCTTTGCTTTACAACCCACATAAACATTGGATTGTGAAACTCCTCCTGGTTTCTTGCCAGTGGAGCCCGTTATCTAGGTGCAG